CAGATTAATTGATGCTGCCACTTACAAGGTTGTAAATACCAACAGGAAGAACCTCCTCCCGACCGCTTAAATCAAAAGTTTCATAAAATGAGCAACCAGGGATGGAGGGATCGTCCTGACGCCGACGGCGCACAAAACTAGCTGTGAGTTTGCGACATGTAGAGTCAACGGTGGCACCATCACCTGATTTTCGGACTGAAGGTTCAATGCAGAGGTTCTTGCGAGCACTGAGTGCAACAGCCAAGAGGCCACAACCTGAGGCTCCGGTTTCCTTGGCATAGTATTTGTCAAGAACTTGGATTTCTTCCATGACTTTTTCAAGCTCGGGCACAGTACGCGAACAATATATGAATTTCTCCACGGCCCCAGGGTGAGCCTTCATATACGCAACAATAAGTGACAGAATCGAAACCGTTTTTCCAGTTCCTGAAGGCATTTCTAGAACACCATGACCCTGAAGAGGGGCAGTCTAGACAAATTTCCAGATCTACCTTGGCGTCAAGTGTTGCCTTCAGTTCAAGCATGTAGTGATACTGCTCTGGATATATGTACTCGTAGGGAAAATATACCAACAGACCATCGACATTGATTCTAAAAAGTAATGCAATCGAAGCGACATCTCACTTCATCGTGAAAGTGGATAAGTGCTCTTAGAAAGCCAGACACGCATCGAAAAACCTTCCAATAAAAATGCGACTTAGCTGACCTAAATCTAAACGAAGCAGTAGAATTGCAATAAGTTCGTAAATCGACCAACAGAGTGCAAAACAGCTCGAGATTCGCACATATTAACCTGACATTATATTTAAAAAAAGGCAATAAGAAGGTACTGCGAGTTTTTCTATAATATAATAAAGGCAGTTAATGACAAAATTAGTGTTTGCAATGTTCGATGGCGTTTCTCATGGATGTAGCACTAAGTAACGCATCGTGAGTTTAATGTTGGAGTTCAAATTTAGCATAAGATGTGCAAATAAGTGAGCGTTTAAAAAAATTGCGTCATTCCCAAATTTACCGAGAAGGAAGGAGGCTGGAAATGGTTTGGTCCTTGCCTACTCTACAAGATCAGTGCAGATCGACCACATGGCTCCCCAAAAGTATGCTCGAACAGTGAGTCATGCTGCGTTTCGATCTATTGCGTCGATACTTTGGATCCACCAGATTATGTGCCATACTGTGACATTCTATTGTCCTTCCACTCTCTGTGCACAACCCATGTGTGGTCATGCGCGCTGCCGTGCTCACTGTATTATCGCCACAAACCGAACTTTTTAACTGCAGGTCATTAGATATTTGTTTCCCTGGGCGGAACTTATTGACTGTTAGAGATATTTAATGTGCTTCTTTAAGGGGATTGCGGTTCTTGTATCAAATACCCCCTGAACTTCCACAATTCTGACCGACCATTCTCCAGTTTCACTCATTTTGTACGACGAGAATAGTTCATGCGAAAGTTCTGAATTCCATGTATTCTCCTTTCCCAAACGCTGCTACCGTAAGAGTTTTACATGCACCGATCAAGCATCATGATAGCCCTGTTGTTTCAAGGAAAGAATTCGACAGTTCAATACTTCTAATGTCGTATTTCGATTATCATGCTAACAGAATGGCCTTCTTGAGCTCTAAGAACTCACTCATCTGACCAACAACCTTCGTAGAGTAAAAAGGGAGCTAATCGGAACACCCTAGACGTCCCAGTGTCTACCAAATTCGTGACGTGATTCAAGAATCGGCGAATATTTTCGAATCCTGAAGATATCAGTCTCTTAAACGTGCTTCCCAAGGAATCAAAGCATTAGAATAGAACGGATTTCGCGCAATGGTTCGCACAGGTAGTCCAAGACCCCGGATACAGAGCTTCGTCGGTCACACCCATCGTCACAAGATTAATGTTGATTGATCGTTAACGATCTGTTTGTAGTGAGTCCACATAGTGTTAAACGATAAAAGAGGTGATAAGACACCTCATGCAACACGATAACTCCAGATAAACTCAACTATTGTGGGGGTGCAAGCCCAAGTTTGACAGCTGCCCACATTTCCACCAGATGAGAAGCGTTTCGCCGTATGAAAGAAGCATGACAACCTTGCCTGACGGAAGCCAACTTAATGTGAATTCCATAACCAACATTCATGACAAACTAAAAAAGAACTGTCCAATATGAGTTGAATCCAAAGATCGACCCAATTATAAAAAGATGAAAAAAGCGTTTTGTCGAATTCACTTATACAGGGGTTTAAAATCAGCGGGAGTCAAAATGGCAAATCGCAGGAGAGCAACGAATTAGAACCATTGCAAAGTGTGAAAAAAAGCTGTGGAAAACAAACTGTAGTTAAAATGGAGGAAGAGGTGTGAGAGAGGTTCCTCAGTAAATTCCAC